AAAAATTGAGACAGAAAATTTGAGCCAGGCACATCTTGAGACAGGGACAATTTGAAACAGGGCCAATTAAAGACAATAACAATAATTTGAGGTGGTCCCAAAGGAAATGTGCAGTGTGCACACACAATCATTTTCTTCTACACATTAATTTTTTGTCTCTTTTGCTTCAACTTAATTTCCTTTCCTGAATTTTTGAATGTCATGCTTTTGAATTTGAATAGTTTTAATATGCTTTATTATACATATTCCCTATACTTTATAATATTTGTGAGACATCAATTTACTATATGTTTTGATGTGTTTTACGTGTAATACAGTCTACAGTATATAGTACCTTGCTGTACAACCGCACCGCACGACTGATCCGCCCAAGGACCACCAATTAAGAACCTTAAAAAAAGTCCCACCATTGTCCTGCCTATACCCACCATTTGTTGCTAGGTGGGAAACTCCAATTTTGACCTGAATTTTTTTTCTTCACCATTCAGGAAATGCCCTTCTAACTTTTTTTTACATTCTTGCAGAGAATTAAGTGAGAAAGAAAGTGAAAGTTAATACTTTAGTAAAATTGAAGATGGCACTAAAGAATGCCAAAAAACAGGAGAAATCTATCATCCATTGGGAAATTAATTCTCTTTCTGTCTCACTTGATTCTCTGAAAAAAATGTACAAAATAAGTTGGTAATCCAATTCCTGGCACACAAAAATTCACATCAGAATTGGAGTTGTCAGCCTCGCAAATGTTTTCTGGCCTTCCCTTGAACTAATAAGTACTGCTGTATACTGTGAAACATAACAAAAAATATGATGTTCTTTATTCCTCTCAAAAATGGTTGTTTATCAAGCATTTTTGTTGAGGGAAAGTGAGAAGAACAGAAGGAAATCGTAATTGGTGATATCCTTGGCCTAAAATTGCCTAAATTGATAGGAATTGTACTTCATGCAGAAGTGACATCTATGCAGAATGGCAAAGGAGGCGCAACTCCTGCTTCACTCATGGATGTTGCATATGCATGAAGTACAATTGCTTTTAATTTGCTGGATTATTTTTGAAAGACAGCAAGGCAATTTAGTAAGGAAAAGCATTTGAATGAATTGTAGCAGTGTTTTCAGGGATCTATGCTTTGTGATTTGAAAATTTAGACAACTTTTTACATTTTTCTGTCATAATTTTTTTTTCAGGAACCAATTAAAGTGATTTCCCTTATACCTTAAGGGAAAAAGAGTTCCACGGTAAAACCATTTCACCCAACAATCACCACACAGGAACAAATTATGGTCATTAGGCAAGGCACCACTGTATTACAACTGTTCAAGAGAGGAAGGAAAGCAAGGGGAATTTTTTTGTTTCAAAAACCCCCCAAAAATACCTTTCGCTATGCTCATGGGACGTTAATTCATACTACCTTTTGACTGAACACTGAACATTGATATTTTTTCATAATTTTCTCTCTTTCAATATAAGATACTGGGGAGAAACACAGGAAAGTCTTATTAAAAGGCGTCAGTCTCAAATAGTTTCTGTCTCAAAACATCTCAAATTCTCTTGGTTTCAAAATGTATCTATCTTTGATTGTTTTGTCTCCAAAATTGCATGCCTCAAACTGTCCCTGTCTCAAATTATCCCTGTCTTTAATTTGCCCTGTCTCAAATTGTCTGTCTCAGTTGGTCATAGATCCAAAAAACAAGAGACAAAGAAAAATTAGAAAATGGAAAAATAAGGACAAAACTGAAAAAAGTTAAAATGCACTGAGATTCAGGAAATTCTTGTATGCCGCAAATGAGACAATTGTTGGGCTGGTATCCAACAAAGGTTACTTGAAATAAAAGAAACACCCGGTCAGCTTTCAGGAGGCCAGATCCTCCTTAGTGGAGTCCCTTCAGAAAGCTCTTGATTACATCCAAATCAAAACCTAACCACAGGCAAGGTAGGCACAGTCCTAACAATCAAACTACTGACACACAACCAACATTCAACAAGTCCAGCACACAAGGCAGGGTCCTCTATACATCCTTCTTCTGTCAGGCGAAGCTGGCAAGTGATTGCTGGCTTCAACAAGCTCCTGTACCAGCATGTAGATGGCATGCTTCTTGTTCTGTTCCCAGTTCACTGCAATGTGGCAAACCAGGTGTGCAGCAGGATTTCCCCTGCACATGCCTTCCTTGCCCTGTGGTGCTGATGTGCCCAAGCAAGGATGCTCCACTGGGGTCATGCCACAAAGCTCAACCCAACAACAACCCTTGTTTATGTCCATTGTCCCCATAGTTGAATGCCACAAATTTCCCTGGAACAAATATCCCTGGTATTGTTTTCTCAACAGAACCCTAGATTTATTGCTGACTCACATGTCGCCACAAAAATATTTGTCACCAATGTAAAAGGAGTATGAATAACACAAGTTGATGCCTCTTCTGGGATATCATCAGGTTAATGCTGAGAACCACGTGCTAATGATCTTATAAAAGCGCAGGATGATCTTTAACATGACATTTATGACATCTAATAATTGAAAATATGTTTTTTATTATATTACACCTACCTTTTATTGAAAACTGTGTGAATAAAGTGGAAGCTTTTCTGGAAACCTTGCTGATTCCCCCATGAAATCACCTGATATAAAATTCATATTCAAACAAAATCTTATGAAACAGCTGTACTCTTTTTCAGATATTTTATAAGAAGATATTACTTGCATAGACTATATAGGCACAATTATATATGTGCAAAAATCAAATATACAGTATTCAGTATTATTCAATAGACAATATATGAATGCATCATTAAAGAAGCAATAAATTTGAGCTTTGCATTTTTTTTTTGACTTCCACTCTAAAAAAAACAGACTCAATTTCCAAACAATTCTTTGCACAAGCTTATTTTTTCAGCAATAAAAACCCACAAGTACACCTTCATTCATCTCTATATACGCTCAAGTACATACCAGCACCCATGCTTATAGTTCCACAAAATCTGGCAGGACACATGATGACACTGAACCCAGGTTTGACTGCATTTCTCTGTGCAAAACTTTACCCGAGGTTCGTTTTCGACCTCTTCTCCTCAAAAACAAATTTAGAGGACTTTCAATAAATTCCGCGGAATTTTGTTTTTACCACTCCCAAAGCCAAAACCAACCTTGTTTTTGACGAACACTTACAAACATTGTCAGATTAACAAAGGGTTTTTTGACAAGCAGCAGTGCAGTCCGACTAAGTCAAGAATGACGAAGCTTAGCGGAAATACAGCTGATATTTATATAACATTCCTTATTGCATGCGTCAAGTGCACTTGCTATCCATAAAGTGCACACGTTCGTCTGTAAAACCTGTTGTTTCATCCTTGGTCGATATCAATGAATCAGAAACACAAAACCCATGACGTTTCCAACTTACATCCAACGCACATGCCTGAATATAGTGTTTGTGTCCCCCGCTGAACGATAAGATAAGAAGAATCGAAAGAAAGACAGAAAAATTCGTCCTTTACTTGTCAAATTGAACACGAGGTATAACGAGTGAGTGCGAAAATATCCCGGCTTCGCATTGTGCATGAATTTATTACAAAGGCGAAAAAGTGCCAGTCGAATTCCGTCGGACACCTTTTGCGATTTGTGCATCTCAGGTTTCGTGTAATTAAGTGGCAGATGCATCACAGTTTTATGAATTTCCTTGAGGAAAAGGGAATTTGTTCAAGTTTTCATTCCCCGAAATCGCCCCGAAGTTTTTACGCGAAATTGGACCAAGAAAAATAGTGAATTCTCGTACACTGACATTTAGAACACGAATTTATTTGGTCGAATTAAATTGTGAGAAAAAAATACATCTAGTAGCATTTTAGGGGCAACAAAAACTTTGGCACTTATTGAAAGAAGATTTATAATTTCTTTTTGCAATGTTTGGAAACAATTAAGCAAAAAATTTTGGATCACGTGCAACTGAACTGCAATATTTTCCTGTGGATATCATGCATTCAATTTTCCCGGCGGTATTTTGAAATTTGAAAAATTAATAGAATATGGCCTATATTCATTTAAAATGAAGTCAAGTTTCACCTAATTGTTTTACTTTCTCTGTTATGCGCAATTCTCATCCTCGTAAGAATTGAAATTTCTTGCAATTTGTCAATTCGAGTTTGTCAAAAGAGCTAGTGTCATGTATCAAGGGGATGTAAGATAATGCAAATAGTAATGGTTTAGTATTTCAATACGCAAGATCAGCTAGTAATTTATTTGAACAAACAACATCACAATTATTATGACAAAATCAAGTAATTAGGATCTATTCTCTGCGTTTATTATTGATGTTGCACTTGAGCAAATGAACAAAATATTCAGCTGATAATATTGTGCTTGATTCTGGGTACAGTGCAGGCAATTTAATACATAATTTCTTAAACCCCTGTATTTTTAAGTTTACTGTAGTGCGCAGTTTGTTCTCTGGTACTGTTAGCTTCCAAAATTCTTCAATTGCTTCAGGTGAAAGTTGATTATTGGCTATTGCCAGACTATTTAAGAATATCAAAAAGCAATTGTTTAAATTGCATACTGCACAACAGCATCCATTCTGCAAGCAAATTTCCTGATTTTTCTGGTTGGCAACTGCTGCTCAAAAAGGTTGGGGAACTTTAAGGCAATGAAAAGACTAAAATAGTCTTCCACACAGTTCCATTGTAATCTTTCCTGTTATCTGTTTAATTTTGACAGATAAACTGTTCTTCCTGAGGCTGCCACTAATTTTCAATGGATTTTCTTTTTTTTTCAAAAAGACAAAAAATCAGAGTCGTCAAGGGGCCAAAAAATTATTTCAATTTTATTTTAAAAAGTCAATGATCTTGATCCTCGATCCTGGATACATTGTTGACAGATAATCTTTTCATTCATTTATTGCTGAGCAGGCTGTGAAACCCTGGTGCCATCAGGGGTGGCTGCTGTGTGATTGCCACAAAGACGGCATCAACAAACATTTTTTTTTTAATTTTTCATAGGGGCGGGGGTTGAAACATGAGGTATTGCGGACAGGTGATCGACGATCGCCTCAAGAAATGGTTCGGCATTTTCGGCAAATTCGTGGGCAACAACCCGGGTTACTTTGTCATCATTCCACCTCTGGTCTGCTGCATTTTCTTACCCGCATTGCGAGACCTGAAAGAAGAGACTGACATTGAACTGCTGTTCTCACCGATCGGAGGCCGAGGCCAGACTGAAAGACGGCTCATCCAAGAGAGGTTTATTCTGGAGAACCCCATGTTTTTCTTTGACCCGAGTCGCAGGACTTGGGGTACCAGAGTCGGTACTATCATAGTAACGCCCAAGCCTGGTGTGGACACTTTGTTGACCAAGAAGACCTGGGAGGAACTGCGGCAAGCGGATGCCTATATCAGGGAAAATGTGACCATCACGCATGATGGAGCAGAGTTGAAGTGAGAAAACGTTTTCACAGAATTTTTTTTTTTTCAATCCTTAAGGAGGTTTTGGTTAACCAAAAATAATCATAACCATGCACAGTCTGAATCGTGGAGCCAAATTCGGGCTTGATTAAAAAAAACTCATGTTTTCAAAGCAACTTCTAATCTTGGATGAGAGGTTTTTTGTTTGGCCAAAATCATTCTCTTTTTTGAAAGGTTTAGGTACGATCAAAAACCACGATATCCACTGTTAATGTCAGATCTTTGATTTGGATTTTAATAAATGTACAGATTGAAAGATGTCTGCTGTTCTCCTCAAATTTTATTTGAATACTTTACCATTGAATCATATTTTAATCTAGATCTGACAACTTTGAGATGAGCAGATTTCAGTTCCTTCCGCTGGGCATGTCAGTAATTACTCCTTGGTGATTTCTATAAAATAGTTGTGAAATTATTTTGCATTTCAACAAGACGAACAGCAGCGTGAACGTCTCTCAGCAAAAGCAAGTATAATAAGCAATGAGCATGCATATGAATAAATATCAGGGTCTTTATAGACTTTGCAGTTCAGCATTGAGCAAAGAATGGCCAGAGTATGTTCTGACCATATTTAAAGGACAGTTATGCAATGCAGTGTAGTGCATGCTCAGCTTGGCACATCGTCAAGGGTGTGATAAAAGGAGAAAACTCAGAACTGCCTTGAGCGTCATCTAGCTCTAAGTAGGAATGTCAGATTATGAAGACACCTCAGTCTGAATGAAAGAGTCAAAGATGGACTTGATAACAACGAACACATTTTCTCATTAATTTTTCATCCTTGAAGGGGTTTTCTTTTGACCAAAAACCAAATAACCACAGTCTGAACGCAAAAGCCACACATAAGTTGGGCTTCATTCAAAAAGATACGTTTTCACGACACCAGTTTTTCTTCCTTGAGGGTGTTTTGATTTGAACAAAAATCTTAGTCAACTTTATTCTGAAAAGTAAATGTTTCAATTCTCCTTCTCTTTTGAATGATGCACATGATTCATGAAGGACTTGCGTTCAGTCATTATTATTTTTTATTCAAGGGAAGTGTGCTGTTGTGAGTAATTTTCTACCTCAATATTGTATTGAAAATCTTCTTCATTACAATACAAAAGAGGCAAGTTGTATCTGTTTCAACTTTATGCCATAACAAGTCATTCAAAATGCAGTGATATCACACGTCAGTGATGACGCGATAACTTGAAGAAATAATTTCAGAGCAATTGGAATAATTTTTGAAATAGTGGTGCACTATATGAAGCTTTGTAGAAAATCTTAAATGATTAACGACTTGAAAACCGTGCAGGGATGGAAGTGATTCTTTGGGGCTAGGGTCATCTCATCACTCATCAATTTTTGGGTCATCTCATGATTTATCCCTCAATGAATACTGGGTTAAAAAATTCCAGTGAAAGGAAAAATAATAATTGAAAAAGTAATCTGGAAAATCAATTGAAAATGCTTCATTATGAAACTTCTTGTGGTCTGCCAGGAATTGAGTCCTTCAACAGGTGTAAATTCTGATGGCTTAAAATTTAACATGCATCCTTTTTTGGTTCAAAAATTTCCTGATTCAGCAGTCTTCTATCTTCAAAATTTTATCTTAAAATTACAATCTTTGTTACATGTCAATGACTGCATTGGCCCAAATATTTGAGTGAAGAGAGGCCATAAAAGATTATCCAGGGCAATTTCAGTAATTTCGATGCAGAAATAACTTTCAAATTTTTGAGCACTTCGACGACCATGCAGGGAAAATATTGAAACTGTACTTACAACAATCAAAATTCAAAGAAAATATTTTGAATTCATTTCTGTCTTTCTTCCCTCACAGATACCAGCAACTGTGTGCCAGGTTCTTCCTAGTGTGCTTGGAGAATGCAATTTTGGATCTGGCTGATGACGTTGAAACAAATGATTTGACGTTTCCAGCATACATTCAACCGGGTACAAATAAAACTATTTTTCTCCTGGGTTCGTTCGGTTCCGCCAAACTTGACGAAAATGGATTCGTGAAGGATGTTCCTGCGATCAAACTTGCATATTTTCTTTCGATCATCACGCCTGAGGATGAAATGAAGTAAGTAAAATCGAAGTATTAACTTATTATTTCCATACTGCAGACATTTTACTTTTTTAATTTTCCCAGCAATTTTTTTTTTGGATGCAGCTAAACTCTTTCTTTTTGTATTCCCTCCTCATTCCTTCGTGTGCAATCGCATAGCAATAGAAATTCGCAAAGCTGAAGTGAAGGGATTTCCAATTACATCTTTCTCTGTTCCGTTTGCAAAATCGTCGAAACAATTTTTCCAACTGGAATGTAACACAAATATAAATATTTTTTAATATTTAATATTTTCCAACCGCATTATTTCCTTCAGCGCAGTACTTTTAGAAAGCTTTTATGATTGGAAAACTTCTTTGACGCTTTGGAAATAACCCGAAACACATTATTCAAGTAAAATAAACGTAATCCATTTACAGGTTCAAAAAAATGGTGACAAATGCTTTCAAATAGCAGTTTCTGGCTTCCAACAAAAAAATCCCCTAGAATGTTTAATAAAATATTGCGGTCACGTTTCTGTTTTCTAGTAGCGGGGAGAAAATGTGTAGAAAATTCGCCTTTATTACTTGAGATCTTAAAAATAATGTTGCAAATACAGTATTTCTGTGAGGATTTCTTCTGCATTTACATACTTTCACAGGATAGAGAATCAGGAAAAGTTTAGGCAGAAATTTCGACATTAAGTCATGATATGCGCATTCTCTGATTTTTTCACTACTGCAAGAGAAACTGGATTTTGAAAATATTTCCTACGTCTTGGTCAAAATTTCATTGAAATTGCAAGATATATTGTCAATTCATAATGGCATCCATTCCATGGCGGATGAAATTAACACAAGTGTTGCATCAGGGCTAAAATGTGGGAGCAGGAGTTCATGCGAAAAATGGCGACACTTCGCTTGGAGACAATGGATGTCACTTACTTCGCCTACCAGACCATGGTTGATGAAATGCAGAAGAACACCAATTCTGTGGTACCTTTCATGGGTGTGGCAGCCATAATTATCCTGGGTTTCTGCGCTGGCACTTCCATGATGGGGGACTGTGTAAGATCCAAACCTTTCTTAGCCCTGCAAGGAGTCTTGTCAGCCATGATGGCGACTGGTGCTGCTTTTGGACTGTGTTCCTATGCTGGTGTACTCTTTGCGGGAATGAATATGGCTGCACCATTCCTCATGCTTGGTGAGTACAGTACATTGATTCAAAAGGACAGTCATTTTTTTTATTGAAGAGGCTGTCTCAAACTACTCAGTGAGACCCTGATATGCAGGCATAATTGGTGCTTGAACCTTGTGCCTATGTTGGAATGTCTACATGTTGGATCATGTTTTCCCCATAGACTTCAATGATAACTTGTTGGTAAATTGGTTATCCATTTCAGCTGAAGTTGGGAATAAATCCCCAAGAAAATTGAATATAATTTGTTTCTCAACTTCAAGGTATACAGAACACCTTTGAGTAAGGCACACGTCCTGATTTTTTGGGGATGAATTCGCCCAAAAACCTATCCATGCTGTGTAAGACTGGCAAACAATTTTTTTCTGAAAATGAAGAATGGGGAAAAAATCTGTGTGTATTAATTTCTCCACGTTGATATTTTCTTCTTTCCTGTTTAATCACTTTCATGTCAGCAGGAGCAGTTAAAATGTGCTTGCTTCCTTCAATGAGATGAATATTTTCCTCTACTTTTACTTCCAATTGAATCTGCAACTGATGTATATTATTCATAAAATGTTCATTGTGCTTGAACCATTCTTTACCACGGACAAGGAAAATTGGCATTGCACATTTCTTCTTCCTTTTTTTTTGCTTAGATGTACGGTACAGTACTTCTGTGTGCAAGGATCACTGGTCTTTTGAGGATTTTTTTTATAAAATAATTTATCCTCAATAAGTACCAAGTGTACCCTTTTTTCTGCCTCAATATCTGGAAAAAAGACGTGTATTTTGTACTTGAATAAAGACAGTAACTGTGCAGAAGAAAACCTCAGGATATATGTTCTTTTGGCATCATAAGGAACCCAAAAAGTGAAGAAAAAGTACAAGTCTTGCTATAGTGTTCACAGATGATGGAGAATACTGTACTCCAACAAAGCACAAAATTAGCCTGCTTTTATTTATAAATTTGAGTAAATCCAAAAAGGAATTCATTTTTTTATTTTTATACATAGCCAAACTTGTTTTGAAGACATCAAAATTTTGAAAAATTAAACATTTTTCATACTTCTATCAATGTTGGGAAAATTTCTGGATGCTGAGACAATGTCTGGATTTCAGGGCATATTTTTTGAAGTTGAGTTGTTCCTAGAAGTTGAGTTGTCCACATTTCAAGGCATCTGCATTTTGGGGCCTCACTGTATTCATTCACTACAGTGGAATCTCATCACAACTTGAACTACATCCAATGAGCAATTACAATGAATTCATTTTTGGGTCCCTGCTGTGGGGAATTTTTAGTTGTAATATTGCCAAAACAAAGAGTTTGCGCTTTGGTGAATTTTTCCCCTGGTTGGTTCTTGCACTGGCCAATGGTCAAGTGCTTTTTTTGCCAGATGAGCTTTATCCTACTTGACTATACAGCTTATTTCTCTGTTCCTCATATGATTGAATGCATTTGAATAGATTTGGGTTGGGTGGGGAGGGGGTTGGGATGTGGGAATGTTGATTGAACCTTGTGAATGTTGAAAAGAAGAAAATAACGCTTTTTGTTCACCTTCCTACTTGAACTCTGATGATGTCAAATTAAGGTGCACAACTTAGGAACAAAATCCACCCTCTCAAGAAAACTCTCCACCTGCATGCTAAATAGTCACAATGTTAAAAGAGTTGCTCCATAACAAAGTTGTCATTACAGAGAAGCTATTTTACCGGTTCCACGTTTACAGGGATTGGTATGGATGACACCTTCGTCGTCTTGTCAGCCTGGAGACGCACTTCCATCAAGGACTCAGTTCCTGAGAGACTGTCGCAGGCCTACGCAGATGCCGCTGTGTCCATCACCATCACGTCACTCACTGACATGCTCAGCTACTTCATAGGCGCAGTGTCGCCATTCAGGGCAGTGCAGGCATTTTGCATTTATTCAGGTATATATTTACCTACACATATACAGCAAATGATGATGCTGGACATACTACTGTATTTACTGGAGTACCACAGCACCTTTTGTCTCAAATTTCAGAAGAAAAGAAGGGGTGCGTGTCATAAGTGGGTACAAATTTTCCAAGAAGTTTCAGGAAGTTATGTGTGCATTATACTTAATTATATTGGAGAAATTTGGAACAAATGTAACAAGAAAACTTTTTTGTACTGAAACAGTTGAAAATTGATCAGATTTTTGTTCCATTCATGTCCAAAGTCAATTTTTTTGTTTTTATTTTCAAAATTTTGGGGTATCAGATTCACTAAAAATAGGGGTGCGCGCCTTACTCAGGCATGAGATTTTAGAAAAATTTCCAACTGGAAAACCCCTGTGGGCGCCTTACTCAAGGGCGCATGGTACTTGAGTAAATACGGTATTTTACGTAATTGAGTAATCTTGAAAGCCAATTGTTGCTTTTCCTCTGATTCGTTTTGCTGTTCTCAGGGGCCAGCGTCGCACTGACTTACATCTTCCACATCACATTCTTTGGAGGATGTCTGGCATTCGCCGGACGTTTGGAAGCTGCCAATAAGCACGCCATCACTTACAGAAAAGTCTTGCCTGTTTCTGAATCAGGTTCGAGAGAACGCCTTCCCAAGCATCCATTTGTTTCTTCAATTTTTTGCCCGATAAGGGATGATGTGTCGCATATTTTATTCTCGTGCGAGATCAATTAGCTTATATTCTAACGTACAGTAAATATGAAGGAGAGAGTTTCACGGGGAATTTTTATACCATGAGGAAATGCTAACAACTGCATACAAATGACCTATACCGTATATGACAGCAAAATATGCATTTCTTAATTAAAGATGCAGAATGGAATAATTCATGGAACAGCGTAGGCAAATTTAGGACTACCAGTAACAAGATTTCGAGCATATAAGGATTGCGAGGAGTGCCAAAAATAATTGGCAGGATCATGATTTATTCAGATGATTCCTTTTATTATAAGTACTTTGGAAACATTGAAAAGAATATCGTGGCTCGTGGGCAAATTTATTTGATACAGCAGCAGTTAAAATATTAAACATTTTAACCAAGCTCATTCGAGATTCTCATTTCCTAAATAAACTCACAAGTTGGGCATTGGATTTTACTTCGAGGTTTTCTCAAAGTAAACTACATCATAACGTTTTCTTTTCGAATTCCATCAAATAAAAACGACGGTTTTCTCGGATAATTTATCATATTCCAGTTGGTTCAAAATACTACCTTGTTAAAAAATATAGAACGCATCAAAATAATAGAGGATCTGTATACTGTAGTATTTAGATTATGAACATCCATGTTTAATCACAGCCAAGAATATCTCTACAGCCCGCAAATATTTTCAAATTCATTTCCGCAGAATGTTTAAATCTTATTGCAAAAAAGGAGCTTTGATGTTCCTCCAGCAACGCATGAAAGGTTCATTTAGAATGCTTGATTTTTTCATCAGTCGATTTCATTTTTATTGACGTATGTACGCTTCGTGGTGTCGGAATGAAGGAAACAAGTCCAGGATGTACCAAATATTCTGTTCCGGTGGGATATCTGAGAAAAACCCAGATGATCCCGTGGACAACAAAGACCACGTGGTGATGACTTGGTTCCGGGACTCCTTTGCACCTTTACTGACGAAAACCGCGGTCAAGGTATCGAACTTTTCAAATCTTTGTAGTCTTTTTGAGTGAAGAGATTTCGGCCCCAAATGTGCTGCTCATCTTGATGAATTAATTCAAAGCTTGCAGGTCATCCCTTGATCTTTATCGCATCTTCAAGCTAGATCGCGTGCTTCATTCACGACTTATTCCGAAGATATTTATGAGAAGTCGGAAAAATGCAAATAGTGCAGTATTATTATGGTCAATGGCATTACTGCATGCTTTAATTGTCATACTGTTTCAAATATTTTACCTGGCAACACGCATTTCCATTCAATATTTTCATTATAATTCGTAATGAATTTACGTAATTGAAGCATCGAACGAAGATAGTGCGAAACATGTTATTATTTCAAAATTATGGAGCTTTTTCAATAAGAAACCATTGCATTTTTGAGTATGGAAATTGCATCCATGAAACCTGCAGATCTTTCTCAACTAATACATAAATATATGAACTAGAAAAAAGCCCTTTTTGAAAATCTTTTCCAGAAATATTTCAAGCCACTATAATCACTGTTACAAAATGGATATTTTTTTGCATGCAAGCACATGAAGATAAATTATTATCTTTCAGATTGCTGTTGTGTTGGTGTTCATTGGTTACATTGGAGTTGGCATTTATGGAATCACTCAAATAGACGAAGGATTGCAGCGGAAGCACATGGTTCAGGAGACTTCCTATGCGTATGAGTTCTATGAGACTGAAGACAAGTACTTCCGGGACTATCCTTATCAAGTGCAGGTACATATACGTGAAATATGAAGTGTCCAATGCAGACACTTGAAGCAGGATGGAGACAGTCAAAGTTATCTGATTTTCAGTTTACAGTATTCAGATCATTGAAGCATACGTTGTTTGTATATTTCACAGGAACCTTTTCTAAGTTGAATTTCAATTCTAACAAAAAAATTGCCTTAGGCAGATTTAGACCAGTGTTCCCCAACCGCAGGTCCGCATAAATTTTTCGACAGTCCTCAGGAAAATTTCTTCCACATGATAAATGCATGAAAAATAGTAATGAAGTCTGCTATTGCATTCAAACATTTTGCAAAGAATGGCAGTCAAAATTATCTGATGAAAAATAAATTGCTGGTTTTTCTCCTAATAGCAATTCAGACTTACTTTCAACTGCTGAAATATATTACTTCCAGTTTTCAACCTGAGAAACCCATCTTCAAGCCCAGCATCCTATATTTTGAAAACAGTTCCACTTCATAGCTGCTTAACATGTTGTTAGCTCAATTTTTTGCCAGAGAAGTTTTGTTCTGAGTATGGCAGATGTTTTGAAATTTTATGCTGGTCAACAAAAATTGTACAGAACATTACCCAAAAAAAATTGTATGGAAATATGTTGGTCTGCAAAAGATTTTATTAAAATTTGCTGGTCTGCAATCCCAAAAAAGTTGGGGAACACTGGTTTAGAGTATTAGACTACTTAAGAAGATTTTGAGTTAGGAAAGAACAGTTTTTGTTGTGGGAAAGATTCAAGGATTGAACATTTTAAATTGTGCTATTCTGGGCCTTGAATTGCTTCATAAATGAGTTAACAGGATGCTGAACGAGGAAACAGGAATTATTTGCCCAATCAAGTCTTTCACTTCCTTGCAAGACTCAGTTACTTTTTTTTATTTCTTTTCTCTTTCCTGTGTCAAGACAACAATGTAGCCAAAGGGCCTCGGAAAATTTGAGTTTTTGAGGTTTCACAGGACGAACCTTTGAGTTAGACAGGTTTTTGATGCATTTTTCCTACACGGGAATCCAGTTGGGGAATTTTAAAAAAATCTGTTCAGGGAGGTTTGAGTTATTAAGGTTAAAATATAAAAACTGAAGTACACTTCTGAAGTTGATCTTTTTTTGACAAACCAAAGTGTCATATAATATATTCCGACACTAATTTTTTTCTTCAGATGGTGATTACAGAGCCTTTGGATTATTCAGATCCTCTGGTGCAAAAGGAGGTTCTCAGTTGGATTGAAAACGCGCAAAAAACGCAATTCATATCCGAAGATCTCAGCATTTTCTGGCTCAGGGACTTTTTGCGTTACAATGCTACTGGTGCTGTCTTGACAGACATTTCGGACCCTACGAACTTCATCACTGAACTTAGATCAGTTGAGTATGAGCGTCATTCACTTAAAAACGAGCCTTGCTTGTTAAAAATGTCAAAATATGATGAAAAAAAATGCTAAAAGGTATAAAAAAAATCCTCCTGTTGCGTCAGCTGAGCTGTGCATGTTACCTTCATGTCATTATGCATGATAACAATTTTGCATTGAACGGGAAAAAGTATTTAAATGAACTGGAAAATTTGTGTTCCCATCGCCTCTAGAAATCAGCGTGATTATTATCTCTTTAGATTCTTCAGGTTTTAATTCTCCAAACAAAAAAAGAGTTACCGATAGTATCAAGAATTGTTTACCTATTTTCTTTCAGGAATCACATAAAAATCTTACGATGAAAACGTTCATCCATTTTTCATGCTCACGCTAACCCAAACAAAACAAAAAACACAGTGGACTCATTTCAAATTACTTTTTCATCCAGTTTTTGTACAAATTGGAAAATCTGCCAATGAAATACTTCCTGGACGTTGTGTTCGGTCAAGGAAACGACTCAAACATTATCGTGGCCTCGAGGGCACTTGTCCAAGCAGCCGACCTGAATAATTACAATGATGACGCAGTGTTGATGACTGATCTGAGGAAGGTCTGTGACGCAGTGCCTTTCGACTCTGTCCCTTTCATGGAGTACTTCGTGTTCTTCGACCAGGTGACGCTCCCATTCAGTTTCACTTTAGAGTATTGTAGCATTTTAGATTACTATATGGTTGTATTTGAGCTGCTTCTAACAAGCGACACTGCCGCGAACGGATTCACTTATGAGTCATGACTAACGGGATTTTTTCCAATCGAATTTCACCAGTAGATCAGCTGGGATTTCCACAAAATTTGTCGATCGAATGTAAATTAGAATAATTAGAGGCATTCCTTCGACGTTGTGTCGCAGTTTTCATTCTTTTACAATCCGAAATTTTGTTACATAGGATGCTTCCAGAAACATGTGGTGGCATAAACGAGTAATTTGTAAGGTTTTACCAGTAAGAATTAGATTAATCAAGCCTTACACCTTGATTGCGGGTTTTAGCAGAGTTTCTGGGATTTGGATTTTTCAAGATAGAGGAAAAATAAATCAGAACG